CTCAGCTGCGTACCATTGAAACGCAGGGCCTCCCCATGTAGTTCCAGGAAATGAGTTTACTATATCTGTGACAGCCATCGTGTTCACACAGCCTTAGAGCAGCAGAGCTCTTGGCATGTGGTTTTCCACCGCGAGTGTTAGCTGGGGCAGGCCCACAGTTACCTCGCCTGCAGCTGCCCTGTGCTGGCTCCAGCCTGGCTTCACCTCTCCCTGCCAGATCCCCGAGGGTGCTGGGCTCCCTGTGGCTTCGTCCTGGGGAGCAAACCTTTGCCTCGCATCCACCAAAACGGCAGGGCGCTGGAGACCACGTCACTCCGAAATTCTCCTCTGAGGTGGAGAATGCATTTAGGATCATTTTGTCTAAATATGGCAATCCAAGGTTTTTTGAGCCACAAAGCATAAAAACCACTTTTCCCTATGGTTTCAATTGCTGCAGTGAGTAATGCAGGTTTCTTACTTTGTTCAGGTTTTTTTGAAGCGTGAAAAGTAATAGTAAAATATTCATCACCTGCTAAGCCAAAAGAGTTTCGTTTTCTCCATCCATTTCTGCATACCAATTTAGGCTTAATTCAAGGCACGAGCAGGCTGTGCTGGGAGGTTGGGTTACTGTATAGTACCTTTTTTTTTTTTTAATAACTTAAAAGAATGCCAAAGCAAACATAGTTTAAGAAAAAATAACCCTAAAAACTAAATGGTGTAGTTTGTTGTCCTCCATATGATTAGCTCTCTCAAAGGTCATAAAACAGGGGTCCTTTGGTGGGACAGCTGGGTTTGTGTAGCATACGCAGATTGTTGGTTTGGCTTTAAGCCAGATCTACCTAATTTTTCCATTTTCATTCTCTGTGATGAGGAGAGGTGGTTAAGGTGACTTAAAGGGGTAGTTCAGTGATTTCATTCGTATTTGTATTAAAGAGCCTTTTAAGAATAATTAAGTTTAGAAACCAGTCTAAATAAAAATCAAATGCAAAAGAAAATGCAGAGTTCACTAGTTTTATCAAAAGGCTGATCCTGCAGCCAGGCACAGCCCCAACTCACGCCATCTGACAACCAGTGCCTCACAACTATTGATAAACTGCAGTTACTGACAATTGTACTGCAAGAACCAACCAGAACCAGAAAATCTACATTGCTTCTGTAGCCTTCCAGAATGCGTGTTTCTATCTGTTCGTGTGTATACATCTGCAGAGGTAGGTGGGTGCATAGAGCAAAGGAGAATTGCACACATGCAGGCATCCTCTCTGTGATGACGACTGCAAACTCAGAGGAGTACATATGGCTGCTTTCTTGCTGCCCACCATGAGGGTGGTGTGCAGTACCTGGCTGGTGGGCTGCTCCCTGCCTGGCACACCACCAGTACATTCCCCTTCGGCTGCTCCTGCCCCACACTGACCTCCCCCCCAAGAAAACAGTCTAGTGCTTTTCACCTTGTCATCATTGGCAGCGCTCCTGGGCTGAACACAAGTGCCTCTCTCTGCTGGGAGGAGCAGCCACCAAAGGGAGCTGGAGCTGTAAGAAATGGCTTTTCCCACTTAGAGTCCTGGAGGGACTGTATAAGTAAAGAGCTTTTTGCAGCGAGGTAAATGGAGTTTTCTGTGACAGAAATAACCTATGTAAAATAAAAATGAAGTTGGCAAGCAGTATAAAGGCTTAAGCTTAATAAATGCAATATTTAGTAGTGTATATTTGCTGCTGAGTTTGTAAAGAAAACCAGACTGCAAAGCTGGCGGGAGCTACTGGCTTAAGCACCAGAAAGAGGAATGTCTTGAAGTGCTCAGTGATCATAAGGGAGCAGTTACCTTCTCACCCAAGGACAGACTGAATACAGTGTCCTTCCTGGAGTGTAGTCATGTACTAGCCATCAATGGCAACTTGAACAACTGAGAGAATTAAAAAAGATGAGGCATTTGTTAGTCTATTCTGGTCTGTGGGTGAAGGTGGTGTGGAAGAGAATAAGCTCTTGGGGAACCCAGATATTTTCACCAAAAGTATTTCACACTATTCACTAGCTACAAATAGTGCTTTCTATGCTAATGTCTATTTTAAATGCAAGCATTTAATGATCCTTCCTCTATGCTTTTTCTTAGCTAGACAGCATGTTAAAGATCACTTCTTTATTTTTAATTTTGCTTTTGTATATTTTTATCAGTTTTACTCCTACCTAAATAAAACTATACAAATCGATAAACTATGAACAGTCAGTAATTACAGAGCATATATCACCATACAGCACTGTAATTAAAGAAGAAAGAACTCTGTGTACCAAATGGTTTAATTAGTTAGATATATGAGTAGAGACAGAGACTCCAGTGTAAAGAACTACGAAGTTTAGTGTGAAAGGTCCATTTAATTACTGAGCAAGCATATTTTAACTGTTACCAACTAATGAAAACCATTCTTCCTTTAGAGAAGGAATTAAAAGTACAAATGCAAAACAGAATTAATGCTTCAAATAATTCTTGTGTGTGTTTTAGAACAGCATTAAGTTTGATAAGCTAGTCAACCTATCCTCTCTTTGTATCAGATTCTTCTACAGTTCAAATTGCTGCAATTGGCAAGCAAGACTGAGAGGGAAAATACCTCTTTCAGCTGTAAGTTTTTCTTGTGCACCAGATATGTGTGGCGCAATGAAGTTGAATATGAGAATGTCCGGCCCAGCAGCACTTGCTGTCTCATGCACTATTATTAAAATGAATGGCTTTTGGGTTTTTTTCTTTAATTCCTTTACTCTGAAGTAGGAAAATGTGTGTCAGTTTTCTGAAAATTATAATGTGTTTATAGGTGTGGACACTTTAAGATATATGAACATTTATCTTCTAAAATGTAAAGAAAGCAATTCATCTACCCTTCATGTGCTCTACCCTTCTGTTGCACTTTTCAAGATTTAAAATATTGCAAATACCAACTTTTTGTCTAAAGATCACTGCTGTTGTGTTCACTAGCTGGACTTGCTCATCTTTTATTACCTCTTGAAATATATGGGTTTGCCTTTGCTTAAAATTCCTTACTTCCCTAAAAAGTTATTTTTCATTATTTCTCTTGGATGAACATAGTGCTTGTGGAATCCCAAGACCAACTCACTTTTCCTACTAGGAACCATCAATCCATCCCTTAGCTGTATGCGTAAGCAATTGTGAAAATGTGTTTCACTGTAGAACTGCTAAGCATGGGTTTAGCTTTGCTGGCAGGTGCTTCAGAAGATCCCAGTTTGGACTTCTCATGTGAGGAAGACTCTGCCCATGATAAAATCCCATTTTGACTCAGGGATTCCCCCTAAAAGTGAGGGTGATCACTGCCGCTGGGATCTGGTTGGAAACATGAAATGTTCCTTGCTGCCCGCTTCCGCCTTGTACTTTTTGCCATGCTTCATGGCCCAACCCTTTTGAATTCTTCCAACTTGCAGAACAATAAGAATTAGGTTTCCATATCAAAATCCAGCTCTTCTTCATTGCAGCAGTTTATCTATGTAGTCATGTAGCATATGAGGATTTGTGTTTGGCATTTGAGACCATACAAATAGAGGATGTAAATACTGAGGAAAGAATACGTAGCAGAAGCCAAGACATCCTGAAACAAGACAAAGCAGAAAAAACAGATCAGTTCTCATGCAGACCTTGCTGTTGTAGCAAAGAGCAAGGAAACAAAGTAAGGGCTGACAAGATTAGAACTAATATATTGGGTTTAGAGTCATGGAAAATGGCCTTAAGATGTCCACTAGTCAAGTGGCTTCACTCAGGAGAGAATCAATGAATCTAGTCCCAAAATCCTCCACAGATACAGCTTTTGTAACTTGCATGCTCCACTGCAGTGCCTATCTGTCCTTGCCGTGAAAAAGGTTTTTTACTAATGTCTGACACCTCCTTGCTTCCTTGCAAGCCCATTCATCTTGCTGTGTCTGGACACAGGTGTATTCTCAGGCTATTACAGTCATTTCCGTGGGCATCACGTTCTCTCAGAGTTACTGGGTTGGAGCACTGAGCTTTCAGAAAACCTAATTACGGAAGCTAGTACTTCATCAGTGTAACATTCACCTCCACTTCTCCTAAAGAAAGTTGCAACTGTTAGGGGTGATACAGTGATGCTACAGATCTAGGTTTTTCTATTCTCTTCTTCACAGTGGTTGTTCAATAATGTTTCTGTCTTGAAGAAGAAAATACTTAGGATGTTCTGGCAGCTTGTTGCCATGTGTTAGAAACAGCAAAATGATTGCCTTGAGATTTCGCTTTACACCTTGTTCAAGTACTAACCTCACTGGAGATAAATGTACTCCTCCAAAGAGGAGGCAGAGGCAATTCAATATTTTTGCCAGTAACTCTAATTCGTTATTAACAATAAGGGTGTTTTATTTCAGTTTACCAAAGCAAAAGTTGTCAGGTGAAGAAAAACATACTGAAATATTCCAGTCCGGGGGCATGACAGGAAGATGAGTCTGCTTTAATGAACAGGCAAAAAAGGACAAGAAAGTCATCATGTACATTTGGTCCTGAGGTATCATGGTAATGCTTTGGTGCTAGATGGATTCGGGTTGGTAAATACCTATTTAGATTTGCGCAATAATAAAGCACCGCTGAGACACAACACAGTCTGCCATACAGGAAATAACTGATTAGTTCAGCTCAGCTGTATGTTGGATATATACTTCACATGCACCAGGCAAAATTTCCAAAGCTAGGCAAGATTATGGGTTTCTGTACGTGTAGTTTATGCTCATAAATGGTGTGACCTAACTTGTATTTTGAGATAATCCTTCATTGCCAGTTAAAATCCTTGGTGACGTCACGCAATGTCAAATGCCATGTACAAAACAGCCGTATTTACACATGCAAGTCTGACTTCAAACGTCTGTATTTTTTCATCTCTTGTTAAAAGTAAATCCATTATTAAGGAGAAAGCTTAAGCTCATTTGTATTAGTAATGCAGCAGGGCAATGCGTTAATCATTAAAAATGTTTAGGTCTGGCCTCATTAAGCAGCACTCACCACGTTGCTTGTTTTCTTTTACAGAACATAGGAAACTTGGCAACCTGACTGTGACAGTGAAAAAGACCGTCCCCTCTCCAGAAGCAATACAGATCCTCTACCAACGCATGAGATATGAATATGAATTTTATTACTATGTCAAAGAACAGTTCCACCTGCTAAAGCGCAAGTTTGGACTGAAGTCTCATATCAGGAAACCACGTCCCAGACCCGAGTTCTTCATTCCTTCTCCCCTGGAAACAGAGGAACCAATAGATGATGAGGAAGAAGACGATGAAAAGTGGCTAGAGGATATCTATAAAAGGTGATGGATGGAAGAGCTGTCCTTTCTCTTCTGGTGACCCCTCCAGCTTTCTTAAGATTTTTTTTAATTATTATTAAAAGTAATTCCTTAAGGAACTGAGTTAATGCGCAGCAGCATCTGAAATGGAACATTTGAGACCATTCCCACATGCTGGGCCATCAGGAGATACCTGGATTTGCAGGTTTGATTCATCATATGGTGTTGGCTCTGTAGCATACTTGCTATAGCATGGTTCAAGAGAGAAGCATCTACTGTCTGTCACAAAATAACTTTTGGAGTCCGCAGTAGTCCTCTGGGAACCTGCAAAACATTAAGGAATAGATTGGGCAGTCTTGAAAAGTGAATTTTGCAGACTCTCTCTCTCTCCCCAGAAGCAAGTCTTCATTGCATACCACTGTGGCATTAGCTATCAGCAATGGGAACTATAGCTAGTGAGCCATTTGGGAAGAGCACCTCTTTCTGCCCAGAACACACTGGTATCCCATTGCCTTGTCTGCACACATCCAAGGGTAACAGGCTCAGAAAGGGCCTAGATAATGGCTTCTGAATTACCCTGTGTGTGAGGAGCAAGGCTACTATTCAGAAAAATTAATATTAGTGAAAATAAGGCAAGTTACAGGAACCAGATGTTTTTTGGTGAACCCTTCTTGTTCATAGAGCAGAAAAAGTTATGAGGTCAGTGAAGGCAAAGTGCGAGGCAGAGGTAACTAAGCGGTAGAGTTTGGTTTCTGCAGTTGAGTATGTTTCTGTTAGACTCTGAAAGAAAAGGTGCAGCATACCTTTTTCATGTTCAGGAAGGGTCGTTGTAGATTTTTATTCTTATGGGTCACAAATCCAAAGAGATACAGAAAAAGTCACTCATTAAAAAAATTTAGATGATTTCAACTTCTCCAGTTGAAATTCTTCAGAATGATAAAACAAAGAAGGTATGCTCTGTGAAATAAAAGCTGATTCAATGATATGTTGTTAAGAGAGCCACTGTGAAGGTTGCCCTTGTTAATCACTACAAGTGTTATCGGCAAACACTAGAAAAGGGATGGTTGGAGGCTGGGAGGGGAAAGGGGAATAGCTCAATTATGTGACATGTGTGGGTATCCCTGGGGTTTCCTGTGGCCTGTGGGCTTGCAGGCTATTCAACAGCCTGCCAGGACTGATGGTGCAGAAGTGACAGACCTGCATATAGCAATGGGCACAGCAGAATAGGCAGGATTTGGGGTCTTGATGAGGCCCTGGCTTCTTGTGCACCATCGTTGCCAGAGGAAGCAGGCTGGTAGAGGATAATAGCAATACATTCCTGTCCTACAGCTCGGGAAAGAAGCAGGACTGAGTTATTGCAGCTCCTCTGCAGGATGAGTCCCAGTTACACTTCAGGGGCTGCGTGCCTCGGTCTAACGCACAACCTTTCTCAAACATCTGCCCGGCAATTTTTGTTTCCTATTCTGCAGCTGCCTTAGAAGCATGTCTGCCATCTGCACAGTCATACTTTGGTTTGCAATAACAAGCAAAAGTTATTTTGTGATGGACACAGCATATAAACTTGGGTTAAGCTAGAATGTGCTTTCAAAGGGTTTCTTCTTTTATGAGCCTGCTGAGAGCCAAGAAACATCGTGGCCCATCTTCATCACCAGTCAGCCTTTCTGTACCTACATGCAGAGAACAAAACTAAAGAAGTGTAATCATGCTGAGACAAGATGCTAACTTCCAGAAAATATTATGTAGAAGTTTCTGTTCTCATTATTAACATCCCAAGTTGGTGGCAGCAATGCACTACTGTGGGGGAGCACGTTAAAGAAAGCTGAAAATGGCACAGATAACAACTAACATATTAGCTAAAATATGAATCTGCTGCATTGTATATTTTAAGTGGTTTCTATGAAATTACATTGAAAGAGTAATGATTAGTTTACACACTGTGGAGTTGTTATATTTTGGAAAGAAAACTAATAATCTCACCTTTCTGAAATTCTGTTTGAATCCTTTTCGCCAACGTTGTAAGAGAATAATCAGTCACTTAACACATTCACCCTTCCTGCAAGTCCACCGCCGCTTACCGTAAAGTCTATTTTTATCTGTTTATTTAATGGTATCTTCAGCCATCACTACTTATAACCTGAATACAAAACCTGTTTAATGATTTACCCGCTGGGTTTTAATGTTGTATTTTCCGTAACAATCAACCTGGCCTCTCCTCCTCGAATGGTACTTCATAAATTTATCTGGCACATAGCATCTAAGATTCCTGGTTCTACAGCCTATTTGTCTGTCATGAAATATATTTTACTTAATTGTTAAAAGGTACGTTTTAAGCTGGTTAATCTTTGACTTATTTATTGAAACTTTTCAGCACATTCCAAATTCTAAGTTGCTCAGGAAGAAGTTGATTTAAATGATTATATTTTGGTCTGATTAATATTTCATATTAAAAAAAAAAAAACATTGTTTGTAAGCCTTTAGCCCACGACAGCTTGTAGGAAGTGCCATGCATGTACTTGTGAATCTTTGTGGGGGGAAAAAGGTGGGTGCTCGACATTTATGAAAATAAGAAAACATATGTGTACATTAGCTTAGCTATAAATGAAAGCAAGGTATGTTTTGGGATGAAATATTCTTTAACTTATTCACTACCATCTCCTGAAATATAAATAAGCCATATGACTATTTTTCAGTCCAGTGATGTTTAAGAATAAAACTTGTACATTTCTTCCTAGCACCACAGTCCACTTGCTTATGCTAGATTTCTTGCCTGGGTACCGCGGCTGTGGGTAAGACACTGCAGTTGCATCTGGTAAAACAGGATGGGTTATGGCACAGTTTGTCATCCGAAAGTCATACTTTAGTAGTGAGATTGGGGCAGGTTATTCCTGGGTTATTCTGTGTCCCCAATTGCCTGGAGGTGTGAGAGTGAAGTCAGAATTACATCACTCACCTGAGATGTACAATAAGTACCCTGAAGTACATTGTGTCATGAGCTTTGTGGCTGCTAAGAAAAACAAGTTTTATCCATGAGAGAAACAGCTTGGTCCCCATACAGTGTGTTTTACTAGACCCGGTATTTGATGGCCAGGCAAAACAGCTCCCATAGTCCAGAGTGATGTTGTAATGTATGTGAAACATCAGTGCTTTCACACTAAAGGGAGAATCAACCGTTGCTAAAATGCAGCATTCTGGAAAAAATGAATTTTAGTCTTAAGTTTCCAGTGACAGTGACAAATGGTGCGGATTTTGTTCCTGTTTAATTTACTTCTCTTCCACACAAATTGTGCTGGTGATGCAAAGCTCAGTCCAAGTATCTATCTGCAACGTGCTCTACTTATATGTAGCTCAGCAGAATGAAGGTATGTGAGATTAATGGTGTATTTGAATTTCTTTGTAATTCTTTATCTTTGGACTTTGTTGAATTGTTTGAGTGTTATAATATAGAATGGTACATGGTGTCATAAAGACACAACAAAACCACAGATTTTAAATGCTGGAGGGCAGATCTGTGCATTCCAGCCGTTAAGTTCTTCCTTCTTTCAATACTTGACATAATAAAAATATTTAATGTAAAGGTAGATTTTCTGACTAGCAGAGGAAACCACACTGCATGCCAGCTTGGGTCCTCTTAGCAAATGAAGACACATCATCTGCCAAAGAATGAAACTGTGCATCCTTTTAAAAAATACAGGTCTGTAATTCCCAGTTAGGGGTAATGGTGCTCTGAAATTCCCCTCCATTTTAAGAAAGGGAACATCTGTGGCGTTAGACCACAGCCTAAACAACACAGCAACGTTTCTGAGAGCTGTAATACTGTAACACAATACCACAGCATTCCTTCTGTTTTATTTTCAAGCATTCAGGCTTTATTGTATAGAGTTCAGCAAACATATAAAACACTGACGATCAATCTGCTTGTGTAAGCCAAGACCAGAGAAAAGGACTGAGCGTTGCTACATGTAGACCTCCACGCACAGACTCCATGGGAAGAGCGAGAAAGGTGTTACCAAGCCTTGGAAGTGCCTGTCTGGTGGTGCTGGAATCACCGGGACCGCTTCTGCACGGTCAGTCCCAAGGGAGTGTTAGCAAAGTGGGGGTCCGCTTAGGTGCCCACAGGTACTGTGGGAAGGGTGCTGGAAGGCAGCTCCATGAGAAATAGCCATTGGGGGTGTGAAAAAAAATCCCCTGCAATGCAGTAGGAGTGGATGGGAAGGGTCTTGTTTTGAAGGTGGAAAGTTAAATCTCAACCAGCATATATCAGTTGCTGATGTCTCACTTGTAACTGAAAACCTGTCATGCATTTTCTTTGGTTTGCCCAGAAATGGCCCTGCATGCCAAGCTGCAGCGTGAACTTCAGCACTCAGTTCTAAGCTTTGGAAAATAGATACGTGTAATGGAAGCACCAGCTTCATAATGGTTGTGTCCCAGCACTGGCATCTGATGCTGTCATATTGGAAGCGCTTGGAGGTGGGGTGGAAGGTTGTTCTGGGGGCAAGAGGGGATGGAAAGGCAGGGAGGTTTTCTGCAAATACATATTTGGCCTTTCGGATGCTGTGAGATGGTGAGATTTGACCAATGGTAAATTTGAATGGGGATTGTGAATATAAACGTGGATTTCCTTTTCTGAGTATGTAAAAGAAGAATGCAAGTCTGGTTTTGTATTTAACTGATTGTGGCTGAAAGGGTAAGTTAATAACACTGATGTCAGGCAGGCATGTTAGGAGTGTGCTTTACGCAAACTTTTGCCATTCTTCTGTTCCCTTCTTTGGATCCGATGGGCAAAAAGGCTAATGGCAAAGAATTCTGCTACACTGAGGGAAACTGGTGCTGTGAAAAGTAATGATT